CCCCCCCCCCCCCCCCTCCCCCACGGCCACCCGGGTACGTACCATCAACGAGCGCAGGTGCCCCATGCTCGAGGCCAGGAAGTCCACCGGGGTGACGACCCTCAGCGCGCGCACCGCCTGCACCGTGGTCAGGATCTGCGCCACCCGGGCGCCGAGGTAGGCGGTGAAGCCGGCCTCGGCGTCGGACTGCGGCCGCCCGGGCCCGGCCAGATGCCGCTGCATGGTGGCCAGAGGCGAGAGCAGCCGCACGGTTCGGCCCTCGCCGGATGCCTGGACCTGGAGCTCGGCCAGCAGGGGGACGGCCGGGCCGGTCTGCTCGCGCAGGCTGGCCAGATCGAAGGCCGTCCAGCCGACCAGGCTCGACAGGAGCAGGGTCAAGTAGTGCTCCGGGGCATTGGGACGCTCGGCGCCCGGGGCGAAGAGCCGTGTCTGCTGGCTGCCGAGCAAGTGCAGCGCATAGTCCCGCGCTGGGGCCGGGCAGGCCGGCGAGCAGACCGCCACCGAAAGGCTCGGCCGGAGGCGCTCGCCCAGGGGGCCGAGGAACTGCACGCACCCGAGCAGGCGCTGTTGAGCCCCGGCACTGAGGGCCAGGAAGGGCCCGAAGATGCGCCGCGCCGGGGTCCCCCCCCGAGCTGGCAGCTGGGTGAAGAACATCGGCGCCAGGGCCGCCTGGATGGCCTGCTGCAGGGGGCTGGCATCGCCGAGCTCGGCATCCGGGCCGGCATTGGCAAGCCGGTGGGCCCGCGAGCGCAGCACCTCCCGCAGGGTGTCCAGCAGGAGCAGGCGCAAGGTGTCGTGCTCCGGCGCGGTGCGCAGCTGCCACAGGACCTTGGGGATGTCCTTGCAAAAGTCATCCAGCACCGGGCCGTAGCCCGGCAAATCGCGGGCAACCGTGCCACCGAGCTTGGAGTTCTGGGTGGGCGGTTGGGGGTATGGTCAGACATGTGTGCGGGATCAGCAAGCCTGGCCCGGCCAGGGGCGGGGAAAATGTGTCCCCCCCCCCCCCCCCCCTCCCTCCCCTTTCGCCCTTTCCCCGGCGCAAGGCGCGTACCTGGAAGTGCCGGATGAACTCGGCGAACTTGACCTTCGCCGAGGCCGCGGCCGGCAAGCCGATGCAAGTCTTGACCAGCTGCTGGAAAAGGTGGGCCGAGTCCCCGGGCGGCAGGCCGTGGACAAAGCGCCAAAGGGCGGGCAGCAGCTCGGCCGCGCTGTCACTGTCCGGCGATTGGAGGATGTCCGTGATGTAGGCCACGGCCGCGGTGGACAGCTCCTCCTCCGAGGCGGTCGACTGGCTGTCCCTGGCGGCGGCCGACAGGAGCGACATGATTTCAATCATCTGGATGTTCATCTCCAGCAGGGCCGCCTGAACCTCGGAGCTGTCGGCCACCAGGGATTGCGTGCCGAAGGGGAAGTGGGGGGCGAAGAATTTCCGCAGGTCCCCGCGGAAGGTCTCGCCCTCGGCGAGCTGGAGGGCAGTGTGAGAAGGGGAATGTGAGAGGGGCAGTGTGAGAAGGGGAGTGTGAGAAGGGGAGTGTGAGAAGAGCCGAAGGGAGAGGCGAGTCGCCCCTTTGCCGGGAGGAGGGGCGCACGCACCAGCTGCAACTGCCCCTCATTGCGCAGGAGCAGGGCAATGGTCTGGAGGATGGAAATCAGAGGCCGGAGGGCATCCACGCTGTTGATCTGCGGCGCGGTCAAAACAGCGGGGCCCTGCTCAACCCAAAGCTCCAGCAGGATGGGCTTCAACTTGGAGGAGACAAGCTGTATTGGCACCCAGGATGCGTGTGCGTGTGCGTGTGTGTGTGAGAGACAGATGGAAATGCGAGGGTCTCAGCAGGGGCGTGGCGTTCGGGGAAAAAGAAAGGACGATGAGCGGGGGAGGGAGAGAGGACGCACCGCGCAGATGGCGCCGCGCTCATGCGAGGAGCGTCCGGTCGCAACGGTCGTGGCGGAGAATGCGGTATCAGGCTGCGGGAGGCGCGCACACCCGGGCATTTGCAGGAGCCCCCGATAGCCGGAGACATTGGCGAAGACCGGGGTATGGATGCCCAGCTGGGGGGGAAGGGGCACACCATGGCTGAGGGCAACCCCAGGGGGGGGGGGGG